TGCTCTTCAGTGGTGATCTGCAAGTCTTCCGCATACAAAGAAGTCTTCGCTCCAAGTGTTGAGCAAAAGTACAAAGAAGTCTTCGCTCCAAAAGTTGAGCCGCAAGTATTCCATCAAATCAAGAACATTATTGAAGAGAAGAATCAGGGGATTAAATATCTTTTCTTAAAGATTTTATAAAGATTGTAACCTTCGCATAAATTCAAATACAAATATTGTTGTTTGCTTGCTATTTTCCTTTCCTGTTTGCTGTATTTCAGAATTGAAACTTTAGACGCTTACAAAGACTAAGGCACATTGATGCATTTACCAATCTCCTTCACAGAATCAAAAGTAGAACACTGGAAATGATGTTATTTATAATCTTTAATTAATTAAAGATGTATTAAAAAGAATTGTTATTTGGTGGTATAATAATAAACCTTTTACGTAATTCTGACCCCCAAAAAAAAAACCTTTACGCAAGAAAAGTTGAATTCTCTCTTTAATCCCATTTCATCGTTACCCTTTCCTTTTTAATTAGTGGAAGAAGAATATTATTTTATTATAATTAAAAATATTTTAACTTGAAAATTCATCTTTTATTTCTAATGCAATAATTTACAAACACATAAATATCTAAAAATATATTTTAGATTACAAATTTTTTTAATATGTCGAATCAAAAAATGCTATATAAAATGGGACGGTGAGAGTATTATTGGAGTTGGATCATGATAAGGGAGCAAGGTATTGAAACACAAACTATATAGCCAAAGAAGGGACTTACCCAAAGTGGAAGGAATCATCATCGATTCACCTTTTTTCACATAAATACAAGGTCATAGCAAAAAGAAAGTCTGTGTGACAACTCAAGAAGGAATTATATATATGTTTGGGTGGTAGAGAAAATAATGGAAAACAATTGAAGGAGAAAAATAATATTCACCCGTCTTGATTTATGTGATATAATTTATTTATTTTTAAAAGGAGAAAATAATATTCCTCTATCCCAACTTTTTATTTTACTCATGTTCAATTTCACTTAATTAAGTGTAAAAGTATTAAAATGTGCATTTTTATATTTAAATATTAACAATCGAATTATATCATATAAATTGAGATAGAAGAAAATACTCTAAATATAGTGTACTCAAGTTGGGTGGATGATGAATGAATGAGGAAAGTGATGTATCAAGAAATTCAGTACTCAACTTGTGATTGTGATTTTACCTAAAAAGCAGGAGTCACCATCCATTTTCTCTTCTTTTTTGTTTTCCTTATAAATAATTATTACAAGATAAAATCCAAAATGAATTATTTACGAAAGGCAAATCTGAATATTATATCCAAGTAAAATTAAGAAAGAATATTAATCAATTCAACTGGTGAAACACTAAACATTTGAAAGGTTTCCTCTTTTGATATTTTCTTTTTATTATATTAATAACAAGAAATATGAAGTAAGAACTTTTGACTCTATCCACATATGTTTAAAATACTGGAGTACTTGCAGTTTATAAGGGTGTTTTTAGTACGACAGATCTTATTTTACATAGAAGGTTTTTTATTGAAGGGAGAAAAATATTTTCACAAAAAATATATACTAATAATTAATAAATAATAATAGCAAATTACAGAGTAGGAAGTTAGAAGGTAGGCTATGTTATTTATTTTTCTAATTTCTAATAAATCTTACCATTAATTTTCGCCCACTTGATTTTATTATTACTTTTATTTTATTATCTTTTCTTGCTATTTTTTTTATTTGTCTATTATTTTCAACATGATTTCTTCTCTATAATATTCAGTTTTTCACCTGTTTTGACATTGGATGTATTAAGTGAACTATTGAGATTATTTTTATAATCCAAAATAAATGAATTATTCAAAATTTAAGAAAATTATTGAAAGCTATTTTCATCTTAATCTTTCATTTAATGAGGTTATTATTATTTTACCTACTGATTACTGAAGAACAGAGGAAGAACTAGTATAGAAAAGAGAGAATCTTCATATCTAGAAGTACAATACGTGAACTGAAAGAATGAATAGAAATTAACTACAAGTTGTTCCTTATATACAATTTCTACACTAATCATCTACTGACAGCTGTACGTCTTCTAACCACTTAATTGAACTGACTAACAACTAACAGAATCTGTTACATAACTAACTTTTGGTAAACTACATTTAAGCTTAGCTAAGTCACAGCTCCAGTTCCATCACTCCCCCTCAAGCTGGCAGGTACAAAAACATTCAAAATGCCCAGCTTGGATACTAAGTATTCATGTTGTGCTCTAAACAACCCTTTAGTCATAATGTCTGCTTGTTGCTCCTGTGTTGTTAGGTATAATGGTCTGATCAGTCCCTTTTGAATCTTTTCTCTTATAAAATGACAATCTATCTCAATATATTTAGTCCTTTCGTGATATACTGGATTTGCAGCTATCTGCAATGCTGCTTTGCTGTCACAAAACAGGTCAATTGGCATTTTTAGTTTTTCTCCCAACTCTTTGAATAACGCTGCAAGCCAAACCAGTTCTGATACAGTGGAGGCCATACTTCTGTACTCTGATTCTGCTGAACTTCTGGATATGGTTGCCTGCTTTTTCGATCTCCATGATATCAAAGAATCTCCATGCTTTATCACAAAACTTGTCACAGATCTCCTTGTGTTTGGGCATGCTGCCCAATCTGCATCACAATATGCTACCAACTTGTTTTCTTTCTTGCTGCTCATCAGTATTCCCACAGCAGGTTCCCTTTTCACATATCTGACAACTTTAATAGCTGCTTCCATATGAGACTTCTTTGGATTCTGTAAAAACTGACTTAATGTTTGCACTGCAAAGCTGATATCTGGCCTTGTCATTGTTAAGTACAATAATCTCCCAATCAACCTCTGGTAGGATCCTATATCTGTTAAGGTGTGATCACCTGTCACTCCCCATGCCTTGTCTACTTCTGTTGTTGTTAGTTTCATATTAGGATCCAGTGGTGTCCAGGATGGTTTGGCACCAGTTAACCCCAATTCTTCTATCAGTTCTAGAGCATACTTCCTCTGATTCATTAGAATCCCATTGGATGATCTGCTGAATTCAATTCCTAAGAAAAACCTCAGTTGTCCAAGATCTTTAATCTTGTACTTGGCATGTAGTTCTTCCTTGGTCTTTTCAATCAACCTTAGATCATTACCAGCTACTAACATATCATCAACATATACCAACACAACTACGATATGCTCATTGTGTCTTTTGGTAAATAGAGAATGATCCAAGCTGCTCTGTATGAAACCAGAATGTATCAATGCATCAGTGAGCTTAACATTCCACTGTCTACTGGCTTGTTTAAGGCCATACAAGGATTTAACTAGCCGGCATACCAGCCCTGGCTTCTCCCCCTAGCTAGAAAATCCTTCAGGAAGGGTCATATACACTTCATCAAATAAGTCACCTTGCAAAAAAGCATTATAAACATCTAGTTGATGGATATGCCATCCAGAAGTTGCAGCAATGGACAATACACTGCGCACAGTAACAATCTTAACAACTGGAGAAAAAGTGTCCTGATAGTCCAAACCAGCTTTTTGGTTATATCCCTTTGCAACTAGTCGGGCCTTATATCTCTCGATATCCCCATTTGCCTTGAACTTCACCTTATACACCCATCGACAACCAATGAGAACCTTCCCATGAGGCAAAGCCACCAACTTCCAAGTATGATTATCCTCAAGAGCTTGTATCTCTTCCTGCATAGCCTTAATCCAGTTGGGATCTTTGCAAGCTTCATGATAAGATTGAGGCTCAGTAATGCAAGAAAAGGCTTTGATATAGGATTGATAAGGTTTCGATAAATGAGCATAACTCAGGTGTTGTGATAAGGGATAAAGAGTGGAGGCAGTAGCATTAACAACAAAGTCATTCATCCAGCTTGGATGCTTCTTTGGTCTAGTAGAATGCCTAATATCACCAGAGGATGGAATAGGATCTGGAGGTGTATTCACTACAACAGGAATTTCATGGTTTATAGGCACTTGGGGTTCTTGAATTGGTTGATCAACAGGTGCAGGTAGAGCAGCATCCTCATCAATACCTGGAAATATGTCTAAAAACATAGGATGAGATAAGGATTGTGTCTTGAAAGGAAAACTGTCCTCATTAAAAACCACATCCCTGGAAATAAAAAAACAATTAGTTTCCAGGTTATACAAAACATAACCCTTCGAAACTTCAGAATAACCCATGTGAACTGCAGGCATAGCCCTAGCTGTGAACTTATCTCCAGTTGGTAGTGTCTTTGCATAACACAAGCAGCCCATAGTCCTGAAATGATCACATGTTCCTTTACATCCATGAAACATTTCAAAGGGTGTCTTTCCTTGCAAAGCTATAGAAGGAAGTCTATTCATCATATAGACAGCACCTAAGACACAATGACCCCAGAATTTGAGTGGTATAGACCCTTGAAATCTGATAGCTCGGGCTAACTCCAGAATGTACCTATGTTTTCTCTCAACCACCCCATTCTGTTGTGGGGTGTAAACACAGGACTTTTGATGTATAATACCATAAGACTTGAACAAATTATCACACTCAGAGTTAACAAATTCTGTTCCATTATCTGACCTCATCTTTTTGACTGTCTTACCAAATTGAGTCGAAACAAGTTTGATAAAGTCTCTCAAAACAACTACAACATCATTTTTGAGTTTCAATAAGAAAATCCAAGTCATACGAGAGTAGTCATCCACAATTGTTAAGAAGAGTTTATTTCCATCAAAAGTAGGTACATGAAATGGTCCCCATACATCCAAATGTAGTAAATCAAAAACTGTAACAGATCTAGTAATACTGTCAGGAAAGGGAAGTCTAGATTGTTTAGCTAATGGACAAATGTCACATATATTGATCACTTGTTTACATTCATCATGATTAAAATTGAATAACCGCTTCATAGCTCCAACAGATGCATGACCCAACCTTCTATGCCAAAGCAAAATGTCTGCCTTATTCTTAGTAGCTAACAGTCCTCTAACTGGATGTTCATTATTGTCTGTTGATCCTTTATGATTCAACAAGTAAAGTCCATCATTCTCTTCACCAATCTCCAACACCTTCCCACTTGAGAGGTCCTGGAATATACAGAAATTTGGGAAAAAACTGACTGAGCAGTGTAACTCTTTAGTTAATCTTGAAACAGATAATAGATTGAATCTAAAATCTGGAATATAGAGGACATTTTTCAATGTTTTTCCATCCATGATCTCGCAACTACCTATGTGAGAAACATCTACTTTATCTCCATTTGGCAGATATACCTTCTTATCCTTAATAGCTATCCCCTTATTTGCAGTATTTAACATTTCTTTATGAGAAATCATGTGATTGCTCGCTCCAGTATCAATTATCCACTCTTTCCTACATGCATTCAAGCTAGGAACAGAGGCATTACCTGCACTAGGAGTTCCACTAGCAACAGCAGTCATATGAGAAGTAAAAAACTCACCTCCCATATTGGCTGAATCAGAGAGACAATTCATGTTTGAACTTTCACCAACAGTGTCTTTGTCCACTAACCTCCTGAATTGATTGTAATGATGTTGATTATCCATATGTTGCATCATCTGATTATATTGATTGTGAGAGTAAGAAGGAGACCCTGTTCCTTTGTTCCAATCATCAGAGTATCTTCCAGAATTCTCCCCTTCACTGCGAGAATCAGATAACATCATACTTTTACCCTGACTGGTTACATTTCTACTGTTGTGAACACAAGCAGATCTATTTTGTCCAGTCTCAGAATGAGCCCCATCATCAGTCTTCCCAGTATGAGCTTGACTCCTTTGATCACCTCCTCGTGGATCAGGAGTATTAGGATTTCCAACTCTCTTCCTAAACTTGAAATCTGGTGGATATCCTATCAGTTTGTAACAATTTCCCCTAGCATGTCCCATCTTCTTACAATAGTCACATTGAACATTCCAGTCCTTTTTGAATTTGTGAGAAGAAGCATTTCTTCCAGCTATCAAAGCAGCAACTTCCATGTGCGTCATTGGACCAATAGCATGAGCCATACTCCTTTGACTCTCACGTGCAATCATCATCGAATAAGCCTGGTTCACAGAAGGCAATGGAATTAACATCAGAATTTGTCCTCGAGCTTGCTCATAAGATTCATTAAGGCCCATCAAAAACTGCATTAGCTTTTGCCTGGGCATGAACTCCATGAAATCTCTGGATTTCTCACAAGCACATCCAGGAAAAGGGGCTAGACAATCAAACTCAGCCCAAAGTAATAGCAAACGAGTGAAATACTCAGATATGGTGCTTGTCCCCTGATTTGCAGTAACAATCTCCCTATGTAACTGAAAAATCCTTGATCCATCAGCCTTGTCAAATCTCTCATTGAGATCTCTCCATACATCACAAGCATCAGAAGAGTAAACAATTCCACTTAGTAACTCCTTCGAAACACAGTTCATTATCCATGAAAGAACAATTGCATTACACTGTTCCCATAGATCTACTAAATTTGGACCAAAACCTTCCTTCCTGCACTTTTCGTCGATCAATCCCAACTTGTTCCTACCAAGTATGGCTATCTTCATCGAACGGCTCCATACAAAATAGTTTTCTGATCCAGTCAATTGAATAGAGATCAAAACCACTCCAGAAGTATCTGATGAACTGAGATACAGAGGATGATTATGACCTAATTTCTCTGGCAATTCATTATCTACTACAATCGCCATAACTCTTTCTTACAAGTTCTCGAAAAACCACTATCAATGGCTGAAAAGCTCTGATACCATATTATTTTACCTACTGATCACTGAAGAACAGAGGAAGAACTAGTATAGAAAAGAGAGAATCTTCATATCTAGAAGTACAATACGTGAACTGAAAGAATGAATAGAAATTAACTACAAGTTGTTCCTTATATACAATTTCTACACTAATCATCTACTGACAGCTGTACGTCTTCTAACCACTTAATTGAACTGACTAACAACTAACAGAATCTGTTACATAACTAACTTTTGGTAAACTACATTTAAGCTTAGCTAAGTCACAGCTCCAGTTCCATCAGTTATTAACTACTTTACATTTTTTCAAAGTAATTTGAAAATAATCCAAAATGCTGTAGTGACGGTAGCATTTTATTTATGTCATTAAAATATTTTTCATTTGTAAAACCCTAATAATTAACTTAATATGGACATGAGGGTATAAGAGTAGTCACATTATTGTGGTGGTCAATTGGACACTTTTTGTCAAAAAATTGTACAAAATTTATAGATTAAAAAACATTTTTTATACATATATTTTTAATTTTAAACACCTTTAACGAAATTTTTCTCTTCGTCACTACTTGAGGGTAGGGGTAGGCATAAATATCGAAAAATCAAACCTAACAAATTTGGTTTCGGTGTTTCAATTCGATGTCGTTGTTAATTTTTCAAAAAATTGGTTCTTCGGTTCGGTGTTCAGTTAAGGGTCTCAGAACTTCGGCACACCGAAGAACCGGACCTTTATTTTGGGAGCGCTTTACCATAAAAATTAACCGAGCGCTTTATTTTGGCTCCAAAATCATTCATCAACAAATCAAATTAACAACAAATGTACAATTTCATAGTTGACTTCAAATATTAATTCGCAAGAGGAACCCAAACATATTTTTATCAATGTACATTATTTTATGTAAAGGAACCCATTTTCGTCCTTGTTTTTTTCGAGAAGTAGTTAGCACAATAAGTGTTCCATGGTGAGACACATCAATCCTTAACATAATTTTAAAATTTTAAGTATATATCTTATACTTTGATTTTGTCCTCATTTTATTTATCATTCGCACCGAAAAATCGATTTAAAAAACACCGAACTAAACTTAACCGAAGTAGAAAAAAATGAACCGAACCAAATTAGTTTGGTTTGAAATATGATGCACACTTTTCTAAATTAAAAAAATCGAAGTTTGATAAAACCAAAACCGGAGAACCAAACGCCCCACCCTATTTGAAGAAGTACCATTTAACCTTGGATCATCGATCTGATAGTTTCTGCCCTTTTATTTAACCTTGTAATAAGTAAGTACAGTATTTATTTTTCACCAACTCCCTTTGCTTTATTGGTCAGTACTTACTTCCTCTCACGTCACATGGATATACAAAAACATTATCTAGTGATTTGTTTGATTAATTACTACTCGTAATTACCTAATATGGCAAGTAAGTGTGGCAGTAAAAGTAATACTTATGAAATTACTGAAGAAGTTGTTCGTACAGCTGTGTATGTATAAGGACAAAACGTGAATGAATGAATCTAATCCCTGTGAGGATATTTACAGTGTTTCGCGGATCCTATGCAAAGCAAAGAATCTAACAAAGTCATGTGCTGCACCTCTTCTTCTTCTGTCTTTTATTTGTATTTTACCTTTTATATAACTCCTACTACTATTTCCTAAACAGTCCTTCCCACTTTCTCTATTATCGCGTGGGAAACATTTTTGGACCACTTCCGAGGATTCACAGTCAAGATTTGAAATTTATAAATTTAAATTTTTTGTTGGTTTGAATTTTATAGGTCCGAAATTTGCTTCCGAATAGAAGTATAATAGATTGAACTTATCGACAACCAATAACTAGATATTCCGTTTGATTATTTTTTTTCAGGCCAGTTTACGTGTAGTTTAACTAATTCCACAAGATAAATGTCAACTCTCATCAATCAACAACAGGTACTAGATGATTTTGTTTTTCAAGGTTAGGATAGTTCTTTCCATTTCAATTTATATGATATATAATATTTATGAGTTGTGATAAATAATTATACATTTTAAAATTATTTCAAAAATTTAATAATTTAAAAGATTATGAATAAATAGGAATAAAAAAATTCCGTATTTAATTCTCCGAATCCGATAATATAATTTGAGAGGGTCAGCTCAGTCCCCACCTAATTAAAAATGCAAGTAATGTAATTCAACTCTATTTTATTTTGAACAGCCAACTTTGAAGTCTATATCAGTTTGTTTGCCAGACCAAATATAAAATTCAGTTTGTGTGGTCAAAATCAAATCAAGAGGGCTATTTTTTATTTTTTATTTTGAAAAAGAATTTAAAATATAAATAATTGTTTGTTTTTTTCAATTAAAAAAAGAGAGAATGAGAACAGATTTTTATTATAATTATTCTTGTCTCCACTATCCTTTCTTTATGTCTCTCTCAAAATTAAAGTAAATGTTTAGTACAAAATCTTGTATGTTGTACTGCATTATAATTGTAAATTGTTTATTCAATATAAATAATTTAATAACAGAGAGTGGACAAAAATAGAAGGTTAGGTATTATTATTAAAATAAAGTATGACGGCCTAGATGATGCAATCAGTTCCTATTATTTTAGCAATTTTACATATGACCTTATTATAATATATCGAATTGAAAGTTGGACATCAAGGTTACACATGTGGATTGGTTAATTTATTCTCGTACTTAAAAAAGTTTATTGTATAATGTTTTAAAAAATAATTTCTATTTTTGTACTCCATCCTCTGACAAAGTACACAATTATAGAAACTAGCTGTAGAAACGACTAAATCTAGAAAAGACACTTTGACCTTTAGGTTTGGCCGTAGATATTTGTAATCATCTTGAAGATAATTTTAAATTTTTAAAAATAATTTTGTAGAAAATTTCAAGTGATATACTGATTCTAAAAAAGTTCAAATAAAATCTTATCTCTGAAACGTCAAATAAAATAAAGATAAATAATTTTGATAAAATCAATACATAACATCGATAAAATCAAACGAAATTAATCTTTCATATGGAATTAAAATAAAAGGTACTTATTAGAAAAATAATTTAATATCATTTAGTGCTTTGTTAGATATATAATTGAACAACTATTTTGTACTTTAACAAGATAAGAATGAGATTGTACATACATCAACCTCTTCAAATTCCGTAGATAAGATATGGTATGTTGATGTTCAAAATTCTAAAAATACGTGTGAGGGATTATCGAATAACTCGAAAAAGCTTGTTGTCCATAATTGAATAAGAAAAGTTGAATTTGATTAATGGAACATTTAGGAAAATTCAATGCATAATGAATCAAAATGTTGTGTTAGATGAAACTTGAATAATAGTGACATCTATCTATGTATAGATATAGAATAACAAGTGTATAGGTTTACCAATTAAATATGTCCTTTAAAGGTTTTGTTAAGTCCTTCTCACCATAATTAGGCATTGATCTGACACATATAAATAGTCATGAGAAGTGATTCAAAGGACAAGCAATGAGTGTGACAATTCATCACTTTCCTACAAAACAAAACAATCCCATTTTGTACATATATTTACTTTCCCTCTTTTCTTTTCACTCTACTTTTTCAGCAGTATTATAACAAAAAAGAGAACATTGACTCGTGCTTCTTATGTGAACTACCTAATCAGATGACTTGTCTCCTACTTGTCCTAGAGACTCTTTATTTTATTTACCCCATGGGTCATGGACATGGATTTTCACTTTTCTCCAAATTTCTCTTAGTACCAATTTGCCTATAAAAGATTGTTTTCACTTTCAATTTTTTGAAGGTGTATTTAAGTACATTTAGATAACATCGGCCTATAGACTTTGATTTAGATTTTCAACTATATTTTTATTATTATCTATTTGACCATGAATTTTGATCGAATTTTAAAAATCTAATCTTTAATATATTTTTTTCAAGGGTAATTTTTGGATTTGTATGACTTCCCACTCATAAAGCAACAAATTTTTACAAGTAAAATGCATGTCCAAACGCTGCTTCAAAAACTTAAAATTTCATATTTCAACTTCAAAAAGACATAGTAGTTGGACTTTTGTTACAAGAAAAGCAAACACAAACGAATAATAAATTATATTTCAAATACTGCATGAGAAGCTAGTGCCCAAATGTATACAAGTTACAATGAGTGAGAATGGGCCAAATTGGCAGTTCATAGTCAGAATAAACTAGTAATACAAGTCTAGTTGAAAAGCTTGCCGATCAGTTAGTATTGGACAAACTAATGAGGAGACATATTTTCCAAAACTTTTTGTCTACCCTTTTTTTTTCCTTCTAATTTTTCTTTTCTGGGTTCAAACCAAGAGTATTAGGTAATATATGGAGTATTAAGAATATCAACCCTTTACTCTTTACAAATTATATTAAAAAAAACACAAGTAGAAATATAGCAAGTCATGATGGTCTCCTGAGTGAGTGATGGAAGCCATTTTCTGAGGACCAATTTTGAGGTCTTACTATCTGCTGAGGGAATCCTGATGATGCTGCAGCAGCTGCAAATATCTGAGGAGGAAAATTGGATTGCCACTGTGAAGAACCATTGCTTGTCGCCGCAAGCGATAAATCTCCTACATTTGTACCTCCAATTCTGCCTCCATTGCTGCCACTTGGAAATTGAATCTGTAACATGCCACAACATTTAAAAAAAAAAAAAAACACGATTTGAAAATAAAAAAAGAGTACATTATTAAAGAGGATATTCACTTGATAATTGGATGAGCCGAATTGCGGTGGAAACATTTGAATCATATGGGATTGATCACCAGGTCTCATAAATTGGCTAAACCGTTGCACTTGACTATTATTATGCTTCAAGGAGACTGGAGAATGCAAGTGCGTCTGGCTTAAAAGTTGCAAAGTTTCTGTTTCATTGTACCCGTTTTCTCTTCTTCGAGCATCAATTAAGGCAGAAGATTGCTTCTGGAAATTAAAACATGTTGCATAAGAAGAAAAAAAAATTCACAACGAA